CAAAAAGAAAAAAGCCGGAAGTGGCGCTGTGGCTCAAGTGGTAGAGTGCTAGCCTTGAGCTAAAGAGCTGAGGGACAGCACCCAGGCCCAAAGTTCAGGCCCCACGACTGGACAAAAAAAAAAAAAAAAAACAAAGAAAGAAATAGTTTTCTCTTTAATTAAAAGTATGGTAATACTCAATGACAGTTTCTGCTATTTGCTTTCCTCCTGGGAATAGGAGTGGTACTTTACATTCTTTCCATGTTTGTTTGTTTGTTTCTATGTCTCATAGCCATTTGTTGGAAACTGAGCAAGTTAGATACTGAATTGAAGCAACTCATAGTGCTGGTCTCCTCACTTTGTGCTAATGTTGTCATCTGCTTTAACTAGCAAAATTGACAGCCATCCACCACCCTTCACCACTGTATTCTGCAAAGTGTTCTGTCTTTGATGATGCTCATAGACATAGCTTTGGACACACCCACAACCATCCTGAGATGACAGTGGCTTTAGTAGGGTGTTCCTTTACTTTTTCTTGTTTTGTCTACTGTTCACAGTAGTGCTAGGGCTAAAAATCCTGTATAAAATGAATCCAATCAAATTGTAGAATAGTTTTAAGGTTAGTATTTCATATTTATTCTGCTCTCAGGAGAACTCTTTCCAGCTGTCTTGTTCTTTGCTTTCCCACAAACTAACCTGCTCACACATCTAGGCTGTCTTCACTACTTACGTAGTGAATTTCCTCCTAGTCCCTTCCCCACAACCTCTGAGTGAACTCCTCTGCATTCTTGCAAATAGAGTCAGTTCTTTTGGGCAGAGGGTCACCTTTTCACAACCTATTTCTCTTTCTCCCAGGCATAATCTCTGAATCTGGGTTCTGTTGATAGGTTGGGACATTGCAAGCCTAAGTGAGGTCTGGCTTCAGGAGATCAATACTTGTGGAAGGGCAGGGAAGAGTGAGCAGTGAAGTCTTGGCTTGCTCCTAGCATAACACTACCAACTCATAAGCCAGAAGAAAAGCTGAGCCCAGTGCTGTCAACACGCCTCACCTAAGGTACAGGTGCTCACCTGGCTAGGTTGCATAGGGAAGAAGCCCCACACCTCTGTGCACCCAACCAGGACTTAGCTTCCATAACCAGTAGCTGGAGCTCGGCTTAGTTCAAGAGGAAAGCTTAGGAGTAGAAGAGAGCAATAAGCTGCTTAGGACTGGAAGCTATGGGTCCTAGTAAGCAGGAATGAAGTCTTGCTTTGCTTAGCTGGAAGAGAGGACAACAGCCACAGTTTAGGTTCATGTATAGACTCCCAGCAACTAATGAAATTTGAGATTTTCCTAAATAGATTTCTCTTCATTTGCCGTTGGCAGGAAGACCATTTTACCCACATTCTGTCCTGGGGCTGGCCTCAGACTATGATACTTCTACTCACAAATTCCCCATAGCTGGGGTAACAGGCCCATGCCACATAAACAAAAATTTCCCCTCCTTTTTATTATTGTATGCTAATTGTACAGAGGGGTTTCATTTTAATATTTCCATAGGTACGTTACAGTACATTACTGTTCTTTGATCTAATTCATTCTATTACTCTTATCCCCCTTTTTACAATTTTTACAGGTTTTATTACGGTTGTCATACATGTGTATGAAGTCACACTCAGCTTATTGATTGAGATAGGTCTCACTACCTTTCTGAGCTTTTCTTCCTTCTGAGCCTCCTGATCTGTGACTCCTGAGATCAAGGATCACAGGCCCAGTCTGTACACAGAGTTGTGTGTGGTTCTCTTCATTTCTGCTAGGAATGGAGTTACTGGGTTGTATGGTAATTCTACATGTAATGAGTATTTCTAAAATATCTGTAGTATTTTGCAGTTCACAATTTGTGAAGGGTCTAATTTTTCCACATCCCTAAGAGTACATAAAATTGTCTATTTTTTAAATTATAGTTACTCTAGTGTGTTTAAAGTGGTACTTCATTTTGATTTGCATTTTCCTAATGACAAGTAATGATAAGTAACTTTTCAAGTATTTATTGGTGATTTCTTACCCTTCATAAAAGAAATGGCTGTACAAATCCTTTATTCTTTTTAATATGTGTCCTTTTATTATTGAGTTGCCTCTTAGAGGTAAGAATTCTGTGTTGCAGCTATATCTCTCTACTACCTTTACAACTTCCTATGATTCTGCAGTTATTTCAAACTAAAATAAAATGTATATGATAAATACAGAGGTGCAGGTAAAACTAGTAAAATCTCTGTAAGGTTTGTTGATTGCAGCAGTGTTATAGTTGTGGTACTATAGCTACATCTTAATGTTATCTTTGGATGAAACTAGGTACAGAATAAATAGAATGTTTCCTTTTTTTTGAGATAGTCGCTGTATAGCATGTGTAAGCCACCAAGCCTGACATGGCTTCATTATTTCTTATAATAAATGTGCAAAGGGCCGAATACTGGTGGCCATGCCTATAATCCTAGCTACTCCAGAGGCTGAGATCTGAGGATCAAGGTTCAAAGCCAGCCCAAGCAGAAAAGTCCGTGAGACTCTTATCTCCAGTTAACCACCAGAAAAACCAGAAGTGGCGCTGTGGCTCAGAATAGCAGAACTGTTCACCTTGTACTGAAGAGCACAGGGACAACACACATCCAGGCCCAGAGTTCAGGCCGCACAACCAATTCAAAAAGTGAAAAGGCTGGAATAGCAGTATACACCTTTCATTCCTAGCACTCTGGTGCCTGAGCAACATTGTGAATTCAAGGCCAGCTTAAGTTTTGTAGCAATACAATGAATAAAACAAAATAGAGAATAAAAAACTACATGTGAATTTGAAATTATCTTAGAAAGTAAAAAATGATTAAAATCATGTGTTAGTACTTAAATATCTACCAACTGGATAGGTTTTGTTGTTGTTTGAGAGAAATTTTGGGGTGAGGTAGGACTTGAACTATGCTTGAACACAGGTTTTGTGGGTTTTTTTTTTTTTTTGTTTTTTCCTCACGGTTAATGCTATAGTACTTGAGCCATAGCTCTGGCAAAAAGTTTCTTAGAGGGGCTGGGAAGATGGCTCAGTGGTAGAGTGCTTGCCTTGCATGTATGAGGCCCTGGGTTCGATTCCTCAGCACCACATAAGCAGAAAAAGCCAGAAGTGGCACTGTGGCTCAAGTGGTAGAGTGTTAGCCTTGAGCTGAAGAGCTGAGGGACAGTGCCCAGGCCTAGAGTTCTGGCCCTACAACCAACAAAATTTCTTAGAATTTCCCAAAAACCTAGTTAACACCAGAACTTCATACTTAGATCTACATGTGCTCCTAAGCATCATGCATCATAGAGGGATCACGCCCTGCTAACTGAGAAGACTTTTCCCTTTTCTAAGAGGTTAGAGTATTGGTTTATTATCTTGTTAGCTCACCAAATTAGCAGAGTATATATTCAAAGCTGTCTCCTAAGTGGATAAAAAGCTTTTGTTGTTATTCTTGACCTGTATTCCTAATGACTTAAATACAGATAGCTTATTTAAAGATGTTACTTAGTTTAAAAATAAATAAAATTGGGCTGGGAAGGTGGCTCCATGGTAGAGTGCTTGCCTTGCATGCATGAGGCCCTGGGTTCGATTCCTCAGTACCACATAAGCAGAAAAAGCCAAAAGTGGTGCTGTGGCTCAAGTGGTAGAGCGCTAGCCTTAAGTGGAAGAGCTGAGGGACAGTGGCCAGGCCCAGAATTCAGGCCCCACAGCCAACCAAAAAAAAAAATTAAATATAAAAATAAAGTAAAATTAAGCTGGGTGCCAGTGGCTTCCACCTATAATCCTAGCTACTCAGGAAGCTGAAATCTAAGGGTGTTTGAAGCCAGCTCAGGCAGGAGGGTCCATGAGACTCTTAGCTCTAATTAACCACCAAAAATCTGGAAGTAGAGCTATGACTCAAGTGGTAAAGTGCTAGCCTTGAATACAAAGACCCAGGGACAATGCCCAGGCCCTGAGTTCAACCCCAGAACCATCACATGCACACATGAGAGAGGCAGAGAGACAGATGGTGCTATCATTTACACTGCTTGAATGCAATAATTTACCATTTTTGTGTGTGGGTGGGTTCTGGGGCTTGAACTCCACCATTTGAGCCACAGCACCACTTTCAGCTTTTTCTGAGTAGTTTATTAGAGATAAGAGTCTCACAGACTTTGCTGCCTGGGCTGCTATCGAACTTCCATCATCAGATTTCAGCTTCCGGAGATTAGCTAGGATTACAGGCATGAACCACTGATGCCCTTCAACTATTTAGCTTTTATAACAACGTAAATATATACTTATTTTTATGTGGTTTCAGAGGAGAAGAAAGCTATGTTGCAAGAAATAGCTAATCAGAAAGGAGTATCCTGTCGTGCTCAAGGATGGAAAGTCCACCTCTGTGCTGCCCAGTTACTACAGCTGGTAGGTGCCACCCTAGAAGTTACTACTCGTGCTGCGATGAAAGGACACTAGAGACCTCCATCTCAAAGCATTTCTTTCAAGCAATTCAAAAGTAGCAGCATCTCTATGTGCTGCTCTACAGTGTTACAGGCACTGTGCATTAAGATTCTGTTCTAAAACTTTTTTTTTTGGTTGTGGGGCTTGAACTCAGGACCTAGGCACTGTCCCTGAGCCTCTTTGTGCTCAAGGATAGCACTCTACCACTTGAGCCACAGTACCAATTCTGGCTTTTTTGAATAGTTTATTAGAGATAAGAGTCTCACAGGGATTTTTCTGCACAGGCTAGCTTCCAACTGCGATCCTCAGCCCCCTGAGATTAGCTAGGATTACAGATGTGAACCACTGGCGCCTGACTGTTCTAAATCTTAGTTCTAATATTCAGGTCCAAAATATAGGAGCAGCTGTAATGTAGGGCCTATAGTTAGAATTCAGTGGTAGGTGCTACTGTGACATGTGCAACAGTGAGAGCCTCAAATGGCCTGCTCTTTTTGTATGTGCCGGCCCTTGTGCTTGAACTCAGGGCCTGGTCACTAGGCTATTGCTCTTCCACTTGAGCCACAGCTCTTCTTCCAGCTTTTTTATTCACAATAAGTCTCACAGGCTTTTCTGCCTGGGTTAGATTTGAACTGAGATCCTCAGACCTCAGCCTCCTGAATACCTAGGATTATAGGCTTGAGCCACTAGCACTGGCTTCCTCTTTAAGCTTCTTCTCACCCTACTCCTTTAGAGAAGGCCCTCCAGCTAAACTACCTTGCTGCTTCAGTGGTCATTGCTTCTCATTAGAGTAGGGGCTTCATTGACATACCAGCTTCCCATATTGCTCAAACCAGTTACATCCTGCCTTAGAGGGCAGGGGGTCTCTCTTTCTTCATCCTACAAATCCTGCCCATAGTTCCTGCTTTTTTGTTCTGCTTCTAAGAGCAATCCTTGGGTGATGTGCCATGTTCTCCTTCCCTAAACCATGAGTATACATGAGTATATGTGACTTCTAAGCTGCTAACAAGTTGTCCAGGGGTATATCTTACACATTCAGCCATTTCTGAGAAAAGAATCTATCCTTCATCAACTGGATAAAGAGGAGGAGGTACACAAAAAACACAGCCTCGTGAAGTTTTCCTGTCATTGAAATAGGAGTGATCTCAAAAACAGGGTTTAAATCTAAAATACATAGTACCTTTCTACTTAGCAGAAAGTCATTTTATGAAACTAATGGAGTTATGTTTTGAAGGGTTATGAAATAAATGTATGTAAGTTATCCTTGCTGAGTGTGGTGGCGCATACCTGTAATCACTGTATGCAGAAAGTGAGGCAATATGATCATGAGTTCAAGACCAGCTTCAGCTGTGTAGCAAGTGTGGGCTTACAGTACAAATCATTGTTGATCAATTTCCTTTATTGTTAACTTTTGCACCTTAGTCCTTGGGAAAAAGGACTTGGGAGAAAAAAACCTCTTAACCCCAGTTTGCAAAGCTGATCAGAGGTGAGTTCTTTTGCTCAAGATTCTCAGTAAAGTGTCTCTGAGTCAAATACACTCACCTTTGTGTGTTGCAGACAAACCTAGAACATGATGTTTACGAAAGACTTACCAATCTACAGGAAGGGATTATCCCAAAGAAAAAAGCAGCAACTGATGATGATCTACACCGAATAAATGAGCTAATACAGGTTTGAATGAGCCCTTCCCTGCTGTCACTGTCACCTACTGTATGAAGCTCCTTGTGATTGAGTCCTGCTCTGTTTCCTCCCTCATGCACTGGCTTCTTTCATAAAAGTTGCTTATTTCTGTCTGCTTTACCAGACATGCAGATACTGTCTCTGTGGGAAAGCCCCAGTGGCCTCTGCATAAAGGACACAGTCCTCTAGAAGCTGCCTCATCCTGTGCCCGTGGCTGATCATGTGATGTCTTCTGTTCCAGGGAAACATGCAGAGGTGTAAACTGGTGATGGATCAGATCAGTGAGGCCAGAGACTCCATGCTTAAGGTTTTAGACCACAAAGACCGTGTCCTGAAGCTTCTAAACAAGAATGGGACTGTCAAGAAAGTATCAAAATTGAAGCGAAAGGAAAAAGTCTAGATCCAAAAGAATCAAGAATTTGAAACAGAATTTATGAAGAATGATGGCGGGGGTGGGGGGAGGGTTTGGCTATTTTCAAAGTGGAACATTCAAATAAAGGGAGTGTTCCCCTCAGTCACACGTGAACACAGAGGGACCCATGGCATCCAGTTGCACAAAGGATCAGATCTGACATGACACAGTGAGCCTCATTTTTTCAGGCACATCCCTGTTAAGCCTGGTCTGTGTCGGATGAGACACAGACGGCTGCTGGCATTTTTCAGCCTTCCAGTTTATAGACTGCATTTATCTGGTGGATTCCTGCAGGACCCATACTGAGCCCAGACTGAAAGCATCCACTTGGACCATCTGTTATCTCTTATCTCTACACTGAAAATAAAACCTCTTCTCACTCCAGTCAGTTCTTCTGTTTGACCTTCGGATATCCAACTTGGCCTTTTATTCTAGTGCCACAGCACCAGGAGAACTACCATATCAGTTCTTGTCAATTTTTTAAAGAACCATTTCCAAGTGAAGTTGTTATGTTATCTGTCCTGCGTATGTCAGAATTGGGTTTTTGTGTAAACTCAGAGCAAGCAACACCACCAGTCGCTTTGAGGTCTTGTTCTGAAGTACATTCTTGATTACCTGTACTTCTGTAGCTGGTGTGATGCTGTTAATTGTATGTACCACACATCTCCAAACATTAATAAAGGACTTGAAGAGGTTTTTGTACATGAGTAGCCCATGTCTTTTTCTAATGTGCATCAGTATTTGCTCTGCTGCCGTTCCACATGCATTGTTGAGCCTACTCTCCAAGTTTTGTTATTCCACATAGAGGTCCATTTATCCCAATAGTTTCAACATACTGCAGTCATAAAAATATCTTAACTAGGGCTGGGAAGGTGGCTCAGTGGTAGAGCGCTTGCCTTGCATGCATGAGGCCCTGGGTTCAATTCCTCAGCACCACGTAAGCAAAAAGAAAAAAGCCGGAAGTGGCGCTGTGGCTCAGTGATAGAGCGCTAGCCTTGAGCTGAAGAGCTGAGGGACAGTGCCCAGGCCCAGAGTTCAGGCCCACGACTGGACCAAAAAAAAAAAATCTCTTAACTATTAGTTTCTGAAATAAAAACCTAATCAAATTGGTCGTATCATAAGTTTGGTAAGGCTACATTGCGCAGAGTTGGTGGGAACTGTTCTCATAGGACTGCTCTTGCTTCTCTGAACTACTGTGGTACAGCAGCCCAGCTCTTTTACATGGAAGATGGGTTGCTTCTTCCTTTGGCCTCATGTGGCAGATCAAGAAAGAACTCACTGCTTCTGGAGGAAATATTTGCTTCTTATCTTTAGGACTTGTATTTCAAGCTGCCAGTTTGAGACTAGCGCTTTTCTATGCCTAACCTGCACACACTTGACACTGGGATTGTATGTTGTTTATGCCAGGGCCTCTAGGACCATTGTTCCAGCTCACCACAAACTTCGCTTTCCTTGAATTGGAATGGTAAGCTTTTGTATGGTGTGAGAATAGGTAGAAAGGAGCAGAGCAAACTGTTGACCTTCCTTAGCCCAGCCTAAATTAGGCCTTCGGTGATAACAGTGGCTCATTGGAGTATTTTATTGGCATGTGGAGATTTAATTTAGAGATGATACAAGCTCTTCACTAGGCCACATAGAGTGACATAGAGTATCTATGTCATAGAGTGGGATACTGTTTCTTTGCCTCTCTTGTCTGTTCACATATTACATTGAATCTGTAGATTTAGTAGTGTAACCATTTTCCTATTGACTTTGCCAGTCCTGGAATTTGGAAGGTCTTTCCATCTTCTCGTGTCTGTTTCTTCAAGTATTTATATGTTTCATTGTAAAGGTCTTTAAGTTTATTATTTAGGTAGTTGTACAAAGGAGTTCTCATTTAACAAAGCAGTTTATTAATATATTAACATATCTTGATTAATGTCACCTCTTTAAACATTGGCACCATTCCTACTCACCTGTTGCCTCTTCATTTTGCAGAATATAGAATTGTGTAGAATAGATATTGGGTTCTCAACGGTATTCTCCCCTTCTCTTCATTTCCTTTACCCTCTCCCTTTGATCCCACCCCACTCATTTCGAGTACCTGCTTCCTTGTATTTCATTTTGCTGAACTTTGATTTTCCCTTTCTAAGGAATTATACTATTTAAGTTCTCCCCTGAATCTATCCACTGTTTAAATTCTCCCTTGAATCTACCATATTTAAACCAATGCATTACTATACATTAGCATACCACCCAATGTATTTTTGTTTTTTTTTTGTTGTGCTACTGAGACTTGAACTCAGGGCCTGGACTCTATTTCAGGATTTTTTTTTGGGGGGGGAGGTTTCGTCATGGGGCTTGAACTCGGCCTGGGTGCTGTCCCTCAGCTCTTCAGCTCAAGGCTAGTGCTCTACACTTGAGCCACAGCACCACTTCCGGTTTTCTGGTGGTTAATTGGAGACGAGTCTCCCAGACTTTCCTTCCAGGGCTGGCTTTGATCCGAGATCCTCAGATCTCAGCCTCCTGAGTAGCTAGGATGACAGATGTGAGCCACCACCAGCACCTGGCGTCTTATGGTTTTTTTGTTTGTTTTTGCTCAAGGCTACCACTCTACCACTTGAGCCACAGCTCTACTTCCAACTTTTTGGTGGTTAATTGGAGATAAGGTTTTCCTGCCCAGACTGGCTTTGAATAGTGATGGTCAGACCTAAGTCTTGTGAGTACTTAGAATTACAGACATGGCCATGGGGACCTGGCTCTTTGGTTAAGGTTTGTTTTGTTTGGAGGTTGTTGTTGGTGTTTTTTTGTTTTGTTTTTTGCCAGTCCTGGGACTTGAACCCCAGGGCCTGGGCACTATCCCTGAGCATCTTTGTGATCAAGACTAGCACTCTACCATTTGAGCCACGGTGCCACTTCCCGCACCAGCCTCAGGTGACTTGGAACTGTGATCCTCCGATCTCAGCCTCCTGAGAAGCTAGGATTACAGGTGTGAGCCACCAGTGCCCAGCTTTAATTTTAATTTTAATTTTATTTCTTTAGTTGTGTCCTTCTCTGATTTGATGAGAATTCATGCAATGCTGTCTTCATATAATGAGTTTGATAGTATTGAGTCTCTTTCGTTGGGAGACTTTCTTGCTCCTTCACTCCTCATTGTTACAGATCTGTTTACCTGGCATGCTTCAGAACATTCCTCCTCATGTGTGAATAATAATCTACTGTGATGATATATATATATATCACTTTTTTACCCATTTATCTATTGATGGCTAGTTGTTTGTTTTTTTACCTTTTGCCTGTTGTAAGTAATCCTGCAGTGAACACTGGCATATATGTGTTTGTTTAAGATTTAAGAGCCTGGGCTGGGAAGGTGGCTCAGTGGTAAAGTACTTGCCTTGCATGCATGAGGCCCTGGGTTCGATTCCTCAGCACCACATAAGCAGAAAAGGCCAGAAATGGTGCTGTGACTCAAGTGGTAAAACGCTCGCTTTGAGCTGAATTGCTGAGGAATAATGTCCAGGCCCAGAGTTCAGGCCCCATGACCGACAAAAAAAGATTTAATAGACTGATTTTCAGCCCTTTGGGTATGAAAGTAGGAATGGGATTGCTGGCTTATTATGGTAATTCTGTATATTAACTTTGTTAGGAAGCATCAAAATTTAGACTATGCCATTTAAATCCCTAAGTATTTTTATATTATTGTAAACAAAGTTTTATTACTTACTTGTTTTGGAGCCAGAGTCTTACTCTTTCCCAGGCTAGCCTTGAACTCATGGTTCAGCCTCCTGAATGCTGGGGTTATAACCACGTGCCACCACATTTTTTTTTAATTGCTTTCTAAGCTGGTTGCTAGTGGCTCACACCTGTAATCCTAGCTACTCAGGAAGCTGAGGCATGAAGATCCAAATCAAAGCCAGCCCAGGCAGAAAAGTTGAGGATCAGTGTGAGGTGCTGAGGTCAACCCAGTACTGGCACAGAAAAGACTTACATGAATGAAGCAGCAGAATACTACTTCGAAATGCAGTAGTCATTAGAAATTCAACTGTCACTTGTTCTCCAGAGCTTTCTCACGTTGCTTTTTTAAATTTTTTATTGTTATTATAAAGGTTATTGTTATTATAAAAGTTACGTACATGAAGTAATGAGTACATTTTTTTTTGTCAGTTGTGGGGCTTGAACTCTGGGCTTGGGCGCTGTCCTTGTGCTCTTCAGCTCAAGGCGAGCGCTCTACCGCTTGAGCCACAGCACCACTTCCAGTTTTCTAGCGGTTTATTGGAGATAAGAGTCTCAGGAACTTTCCTGCCCAGGCTGGCTGTGAGCCACGATCCTCAGATCTCAGCCTCCTGAGTAGCTAGGATTACAGGCGTGAGCCACCAGCACCCGGCTATGAGTACATTTCTTTTGGACAGAGTCACACTTTGCTCTCTCCCAGTTTTCCCCTCCCATCTCCCACCCAGAAGTTGTATGGTTCATTTTCAACATGGTATCCAGGTGCTTTTTTTTTTTTTTCATTCCAAGAGCGAGAAAAAACTCTGCTGAGCTGTGCATGGTGTTCCATGGCTATAATCTCAGCCCCGGAGAGACTAAGGCAGGGGTATCCCAAACTCAAGACCAGCCTAGGCTACATAGACCCTCTCATAAAACAGAGGGAGAGAGAGAAGGAAATATACCTGGCAGAGGTAAACATCACCCACACCATCTGTCAAGCCTTTGTCCAAATACAAAATTCCAGGAGCTCTTGGGTAAAAATCAAACATTCTTCATTCCATAGTACAGAACACATCTTGTTTCTTTCCTAAAAACTTGAGGATGTACTCTGCATGAATGTGTGGGGTTTGTGCATTGACACTAAACCAAGAACACCTCATTTTAGAAACAGAATCTGGGTGTGAGACTTTCACACTCTCATCCTAGAACAATACTTCGTTGTTGTTGTTATTTGGGGGGGTGCTTTTTTTTTTTTGGTCAGTCATGGGGCTTGAACTCTGGGCCTGAACGCTGTCCCTCAGCTCTTCAGGTCAAGACTAGTACTCTACAACTTGAGCCACTACACCACTTCCAGTTTGAGTCTCAGGGACTTTCCTGCCCAGGTTGGCTTTGAACCGCAATCCTCAGATCTCAGCCTCCTGAGTAGGATTATAGGCATGAGCCACCGGCACCCAGCAATACTTTGTTGTGATGGCATTTAAGAGAGTGTTCCCTTAGGTGGCTGTCCATAAGGATCATTAAAACTTGTTCAAGTCAGGTGCTGGTGGCTCACGCCTGTAACCTTAGCCACTCAGAAGGCTCAGAGCTAAGGATCAAAGTCAGCCTGGGCTGGAAGTAGAGCTGTGGCTCAAAGTGGTAGAGCACTAACCTTGAGCAAAAGAGCTCAGGGGCAGCACCCAGGTCCTGAGTTCAAGCCCCACGTCCAACAACAACAAACTGTTGTTCAAAGTCTTTGGAATCTACCGTGGAACATAAATGCAAGGCTATGGATCCAGGAGATCCCTGAGTGGTTGTAAGGCTGCCTTCCTCAAATGTTGGTCTCAGCATATACATCCTCTACTGGGAACACAAGCTTGGCTCTTTGAGATAAGAACTGACTTTAGTGTCCTCAGGCCACTAGCTATTCTGCATCTTCATAGAGGAAAGATACTATGGAACTATTTTGGTTTTTTTTGACCAGTCATGGGTCCTGCCTGAGCCTAGGTGCTGTCCCTCAGCTCTTCAGCTCAAGGCTA